TTGAATGGGGTGAGCATCATGAACAGGACTGTATCAGAGGAATAACTGGGACTCCCCAATGGGTCTGACTCCACAACTAGACATGACCCTTCTCTGCAAAATGAGTTTCTTCAACCCGCATAATTGACTGCATGGCTGGGCGCCTTGAGAGTTGGTGGTGGTAGTAAGAATCATGGTGCATAACACATTTAACATGTCCTGTAATAAGGGTCACAGGGATTAAAAGAAAGAGACAGGCTAGCAGAGAGGGGCGTATCCTGGATCCAGTGCTGTGAGGTAACCAGCTAAAAATATCCAAAAAGAAGGAATAGTCATGGGAGAGATGGTATGTAATCTAGAAGGTTTGGGCATATTTTTTAAATATCCTGACCTATTTTTTTCCAGTGGTACTTATCCAGGGCCCATAAAAAATATTGGAGTTAGAACAAATGATCCCTTACCTCTTTGCCGAACTAAAATAAAATCCAGAATGAATTTAGAACACAGTGCAAGTTTTGCTGACTTTTAAGACTTTCAGTGAACTGAAATTGCCTCAGCAATGCTACCAATTATTTGAGCCATGGTGGCAGATAGATTATGAGTAGGTATTTCCACTTTAAATATGTCATAAGGGGACAAAGACTCAAAGGAATGAGTAGCCCTATTTAGGTCTCTCAGCAATGAGATTAGATGAGAGGACAAGTGGTCTTTTTAGTATGGATATTAATTTCAAGTCACTGGTCCATTGTAAGCTGTCAGCGTATGGCGACTCAAGGGAATTCCTAGGGTCACTAAAACTTATCGGCCTATCACACTTTAGCCATTCAAACATGCTAACGTCAGAGTATTGAACAACAAAAACCACCCTACTACCATGGAGTTCGTTCCAATTCATCGTGACTCTGGACAGAGTAGAAATGCCCCTGTGAGTTTCCAAGACTGTAGCTCTTTGTGGGAAGAGAAACCCTTGTCTTTCTCCCAAGGAGCTGCTGAAGGTTTTGAAAAACTGACCTTAAGCTTAGCAGCCCAAAGAGTACCAACTACGCCACCAGGGGTCCATAAGAGGACGAGTAGCGAGGCCTATTTCTAAAAAGCTGATCTTCACATAAAAAGACATACATAGATGGGACACACAACATAGCACTTCTATTTTGAATATCAGGAGATGGAATGAACGATTTGAGTCTCTCAAGTCAGTTTGCTATTAATGAGTTATCATAAAGGAACAATTCTGCCGGGTCTATGGGATCCTGGAGTTGGGCATAAACTGGGAGGCTTGGATTATTTCTAAAGTAGTTGTCTGCTACTAAATTATAATACCAAGCCTTAGTAATAAAAATATGTCCACAAGGCATGGAAGGAAAACATTCTGACCAGGCATGAGTGAGACTGAACAAAGAGAGTTGTAGAATCGGGAGGTGATTCGGGGGTCGTCATAATTTGACATGAGTAATATGAATAAAGCTCACTGCCGTTGAGTCCATGGGGATCCATAGCAATCCTGTAGGATAGGGTAGAACTGCCCACGTAGGTTTCAGAGATGGTAGCTCTTTACTGGAGTAGAAACCCCGTCTTTCTCCAGAGGAGCACGGCGAGTGGTTTTGAACTGCAGATCCTAGGATAGCAGCTCAATGCATCATAACCACTACCCAAGTGGCTCCTTGACATGAACAGTCTATTTGAAAAGATTTTCAAAATCAATAGTAAAACTGGGTGCAAATTTATCTTCTGGTTGTTTATTAGATGGATCAATAAAAATCGATATAAAAGATGCTTGTAGAGCTTCTGGACTACCTTGTGGGGGGTTCTCAGGTCCTGGTTTCAGCTGCTCAGTCCCCTGAAGCCTGCAGAGGAGGAGTCTCTGTTGCCATGTGTTGGATGCTCCTGGCAAAATGCTCCTGGGCATTCTTTGAAAGCGTAGATCCCATCAGCCCCCATATCTCATCTGCCATAGTCTTTCCTACAAATCTACCAGATACACCAAACTGCCTCTCCAGAATTGCATCTGGCCCCTCCACACTCAACTCCATACTCCATGAGATCAGTGACGTTGATTTACTTGTTTTCAAAGTCATTTTAACCTTCTGGGGTTTAGGTGAGCTCATGAAATAATATCACATTATGAGGTAGGTTGCTAACTACCAGGTCAGCGGTTCAAACCCACCAGTGGCTCCTGGGAAGAAAGATGAGGCTTTGGACCCCAGTAAAGATTTACAGCCTCATAAACACAAAGGGGTAGTTCTACTCTGTCCACCAAGGTCGCTGCGAGCTGGGATCGACTAGATGGCAGTGAGAGTTTCGTATTTTTCTGTGTGCTCTATTCTCATGGAAACTTTTAAAAGTAGACGATGTCTTAGTAGCAATTCAGCTAATAATGAAAGGGAAAGATAGAGACACAGGAATCAAAGTGTGTATCAAAAGGACAATAAGGAATGGTTATATAGATAATGGACTGACCACATTTTAGAAATGTTTGAAAGCAAAACAACAAAAAATGGCAAGCTCTTACATTCACTAAACAAATTTATGTTTAATATCAACAAAGATAGCCATAGAACACTATCTGAGTATATTGTATATGGTGATGCTGTAATAAATAGGAACTCTACTTAAGAAATGTGAGAGATTGGCATTGGTTCATGTGTGAATGCTTGCTTTCTGTCGTTACTCTCATGCTCCTCCCTCCCAGAGAGAATTGTGGTTTTGTCTTTTAAACGTTATAATCCGTTCTTTATCCCTATCCATAAAATCATAGAATGGACTCGAAAAAGAGAGGAAAATGAAGTAATGAAGAGTTAATTATCACTAGGGCAGTGAATCTTCTAGAACCAAGACTCCCAGGGTGGCGACAAGCATAGAGAATGTTAGAGAAGGAGCCAGAGCCACTTCCCGTGTCTTTGGAAGCAGGACCAGACTGAGAGCAGTGGAGGAGAGAGGGCGGGCAAGAGGAGAAAGAGCAACCGCGCAGTGCTGGGTGTTTGGGGCTCAGTGAGAGACTCCCGAGCAGCTCTGGGATATGGGAGGCTTGAAACTAGAACAGGAGGCTTTGAGCGGGGTGTTGTGAGTTATAAGTTGATTCCTTGGAGTGTGTTTCTGATACTTTGATGCTGTTCCAAGCTTGCTGCACGCCATTCTCTGTAGATCCTGGCTCCCAGTGGGCCACAAGGGCGATCGCATTCTGTGTGGTTTATGTCTAATGCATATCCAGACAAAGTGTATTGTTGTAGGCTGCCTGAGTTGATTCCAACTCATAGCAGCCCCATAGGACTGAGTAGACCTGCTCTTTGGTGTTTCCCAGGTAAAGGTTAAGTACTTGACCAAAAGGTCAGTGGTTCCAATCCCCTCGCTTCTCCATGTGGAGGAGATGTGACCAGCTGCTTCCAAAAACATGACAACCTGGGAAACCCTACGGGGCAATGCTACTCCATCCTATGGATGCTTTGAGTCAGAATTGACTACAGCAGCTGACTGGTTGGTTGGGTTTTTGTTTAACCTTTGCAGGAGCCGATTGGCTGGGTGAGTTGGGACCCCTGAACTTCTGGTTAGCAGCTGAGTACTTCACCCTCGCACCACCGGGAAGGACCACCAGGACTCCTTAGACCAAGTCTAGATGGATGAACTACAAACTGTGTATGCTGGAATTGGAAGCTTGCATTTACATTCCTTTCATGTAAAATATTTTACCATATTTTGTGATCATTTGGTAACAATAAGTATGTTTTTCTAAAAAGGTGCCTCCTCGGGTTAATTGCAGAACAAGCAGCACAGTGGCCGTCTACAATGCAGGTGCCGTGGGGGGTGGGGGGGGTGGCGGTGAGAAGAGACTTGGCCCTGGGCAAGGTTGCTCCTCTGCTCAGAGTGGGGGCCCAGCTCCCAGAGGCTGGCTTATGAGGATTGGATGGGGAAATGGAGCATGACTTAAGGTGTCCCAGCTGTTCAGCTGCTCAAAGGCACCCTGGTATCCCACAGCACTCCCTGTCGGTGTCTCAGGATAGGTTAGCAGCACACTCTTAGAGACACTCTGCTCTTGGTATCACTCCATCACCAAGCATTATGAGTCTCCCCTACACATCAGGTCTGGTGCGGTTACTTTGAGCAGTCACTTCCCCTTTATTTTCTATCACATGTGTTTGTGCCCTCTAGCAGTAAAAAGTCCCCCCAAACCTACAGAATTAGCAGAGCCATAGAGAGGAAGGGTTGATCTTCCATGAGGATGCGCTTCCTCTTAAAGACCTCTGACTCACTGCGATTGCTCTCTTGCTCTCTCTCTCAGTTGACACGAGGAATATCTTCCCACTGCAGGGGAGGCCTAGCCTCTTCGCTAAGGCTTTTACCCTGTGGCCTCAACCGAGCAAGCTCATGAGATGATAAAAGCCACATGGTCTATGAAATTCAGCCTGGGGTCCACTCACTGACGTAGCAGCAGGGGCATCGTCGAGGGGTGCCCCTGACCAAAGCTGAGTTCATAGTTTCTTGAACATCCAGGAAAATAAACTCTAGTGAGTTTGTTCAAAGCAACCAGTGGCCTTGTCCAGGAAGGCCAAACCTCTCCATACGCTAGTCACAGGGCAGGCAGGATGTAGCTCTCTGACCTCAGATAAGGCTGATTACGTAGGGATGTGAATCCACGGCATAGTGTAGAAGATGTGGGGAATCCCAGGCTGGGATGTCGCCAGCCTTGTCTGCTTACTCACATCCCTGAGGACTGGTCTTTCCCCTTGCTGAGAAGCAAGAGTAAAAGGGAAAGATTGTTCCTGATAGAGAGCCGTCAACATGGACCAAAGAAAGAGACTGGAGGCCAGTGTGGGCGGTACTCAGAGTTTTATTCTTGCCATCGTTTGGGGAGGATGCTCACAATGGCAGGCTGCCTTAATAACGAGGTGAAACACAGAGGGGAAGGAGCGAGATTCTGCTGTTACTCGGAGTGGGCAGAGATGGGTGAATGTTCCAGAAGGGGTAAGTGGAAGACAGCAGGCTGGAGCGGAGCCAGTGGATTCTGGCGTGGGGCTGGCTTCCTGTGTTTAACAGCAGCAGTCATCCTCATGGTCACAGCAGGCAGGACCTCGAGAGCTCATGGGGATAATCCCCAAGCAGCAGCACCCAGAGTCACAGCAGCCCCCGGAGCTGCAGCATCCGGAGCTGCAGCCCCCAGAGCTGCAGCCCCCGGAGCTGCAGCACCCAGAATTGGCACAGCCACCAGAATATCCTGTGCAGCAGCCCTGGGGCCGCTGGACCCAGCGTCGCAGGGGGCTCACTCCGAAGGTGCGGGGAGCCAGGCAGCAGTAGCTGGTGGAACAGGGAGCCGAGCAGGGGTCAGGGACACAGTACAGGCCTCCTGAGCCCTGCGTCATGCCACTTGCAGGACGCTGCACGTAGTAGGTCTGGGCAGGAGAAGCATACTGGGTGTAGTATGTCTGGGTCTGGCAGGGAGCCGGGCATTTCACATAAGTCTGAGTCTGGCACGGAGCTGGGCACTTGACGTAGGTTTGCGTCTGGCACGGGGCTGGGCATTTCACGTAAGTCTGAGTCTGGCACGGAACTTGGCACTTGACGTAGGTTTGCGTCGGGCAAGGGGCTGGGCACTTCACATAAGTCTGAGTCTGGCAGGGAACTTGGCACTTGACGTAGGTTTGTGTTGGGCATGGGGCTGGGCATTTCACGCAGGCTTGGGTCTGGCCGATAGCAGGACCCAACACACCAACAGACTTGCCCGAAGCAGGACCCGGCACACCAAAGGTCTGGCCCGAAGCAGGACCCGGCACACCAAAGGTCTGGCCCGAAGCAGGACCCAACACACCAACGGTCGGGCCTGAAGCAGGACCCGACACACAGACAGTTTGGGTCTGGCATGGGGCTGCACATTTCACTGCGCTGCTTTTCGAGCTTTGTCCCATCCCCAGTCCTGAACCTTTCACGCAGGATTGAGGGAACTGCTGCTGCTGCTTCTGTTGGTCACACATGTTGCTGTGGGTTTGTGAAATCTGGGAGGGAAAGAGGTTCCATCAAAACTTTGAAACTAGGAAGGTCTCCAGTGAAACCTCCCACCCACCCTTCGCGATCAAGTTGGGTCTGTAAGCAGTGACCTTGTTGTGTCCACAGGCTGTACACCTGGCAGCATTTAGAACGGCCTCCAAGCCAGGGAGTCTGGGCTCAGCTCTGTGCTTATTCCTGGCTGGATGACCTTGGACAAACGACCTCTTACCTCTGGGCCTCAGTTGCCACCAGGAAAAGAGGTTTCATAGAATAATGTCTGCCTTTTTGCCTGCCCCATTCTCTGAGCCTCCTCTCTTCTTACTCCTTCCAGATGCCACATTACAAATTAGCCTTGAGAAATCGTTCCCCAGCTGATTTCCCCTTGCCATTGATGCCCTCCAGGGCAGCTCTCCTCCTACCCAGTCAGAGAAGCCCCGCTGAAGGCCAAGTGCTATCAGTGGAACCCTGAGCCAGCGTGAGTCTCCACTGGAGCCTGACAAGGAGCAAAGCCAAAGACCAGATTGGGATGTCCCCACTGTTTGTGCTCTTTGGATCATCTGGACCATCACCATCACCTCTTTGGCCCATGGACCCCAGAAAGGGCTGCACACCTGTAGTCAGAGCGAGAGAG